TTCACTCACCTCGGCCTCCCAAAGCACGGGATTACAGGCTGAGCCACCGAGCCTGGCTGTCATGAGTTTTGATATCTTAAAAAAACTTTCTTGTTAGCCAGGCATGGTGGTCCATGCCTATAATCCCAGAATTTAGGGAGGCCAAGATGGGAGGATTGCTTGAGCCCAGGAGTTCAAGATCAGCCTGGGCAAAACATGGAGACCTTGTCTTTACAAAAAAAAAATTTAAAAGATTAGGCAGGTGTGGTGGCATGCACCTGTAGTCCCAGCTACTTAGGAGGCTGAGGTGGAAGGATCCTCTGAACCATGGAGGTTGAGATTGTGGTCTTGCCGCTGTATTCCAGCCTGGGCAACAAAGTGAGACTCCAACTCAAAAAAAAAACACCAAAAATCTTTGGCTGGGCGAAGTGGCTCACGCCTATAATCCCAGCACTTTGGGAAGGCAAGGCAAGAGGATTACTTGAGCCCAGGAGTTTGAGACCAGCCTGCACAATATAGTGAGACCTCATCTCCACAGAAAAATCAAAAAATTATCTGGGTGTAGTGGCACATGCCTGTAGTTCCAGTTATTTGGGAGGACGAGGTGGAAAGATCACCTGAGGCTGCAGTGAGGCATCATTGTGCCACTGTACTTTAGCCTGCACAGCAGTTGGAGTAAGACCCAGACTCAAAAGAAACAAAAAAGTATGCAAGTGAATATTTGAGACTGGAGTTCAACCGAGAGATGTGGGATGGATACACTATTGGAGGAGTTGTCCTCATATGGAAGGTGGTTAATGTGAAGGAAATAAATGAAGTTACCTAGGGAGGAGAATATAGAGAGAAAAAAAAAGGAAAGAAGGTGTCCCTGGGCCAAAAAGCATCAACAGCTGGAGATGAAAGCATCAACAGCTGGAGATAGGACTGAGGAGGAGATGGGGAGAGGCCCAGAAGGCAAGGAGGACATCGGGAAGCTAAGAGGAGACAGTGGCCCGCCATGCAGCAATGTCATTGCTCTGTAAAGCCACATCCTTGCCCACCCAACCACCAGTGGAGTCCCCTTTTGTCCTCAGGCTCCCCATCACTCTATTCACACTTTTGGAGGAGGCTCACATGTGTAGTAGCATCACTTGAGGCTCTGTCTCCTGTACCAGTTAGTCTGTGAGCCTCCTGAGGACAGGATCGATGTTTTATTCAACCCTGAATGCGCAGAGCCTCAGACAGAGCAGAGGAGGTCATCCATCAGTGTCTGGTGGATGAATGAAATGAAATGAGAACGACCCTGAAATTGGTCCCTTCTGGGGAGAGGTAATTTTCCAATTCTTTTCAAAGAGATTTCTAAGATGATTCCTGTCTCCGATCTCATGTGCTCCATCCCTTTTATTATTAAAACCAGTTATATGAAGAGAAAGAATGGGATTTTCAGCCATGACACTCTATTCCTTCTTGCTTAGAAAGTGAACTCCATGGGCTGAGCACAGTGGTTCATGCCTATAATCCCAGCACACTGGGAGGGCGAGGCAAGAGGATTGCTGAGACCCCAAGAAGACAGGCCTGTGGGGTCACAGGTGATGCTCAGTCTCAGCCTCTTCCCTCCAAGTACATTGTGAGGGGGCATCTACAGCCCTGGGGCCATCCATAGCAAAGTTCAAAAATGTAGGCAGTTGCGGGTCACTCAGCCGCACTGCGGAAAAGCCCCTAGAAGCCTGTGCCCATAGTACCAGCACTGAGCACTGGGAACTCCTGGATTTGGGTTTAAAAGTTGGGACTGTGGCTGCCTCTCTGTGCGGATGCCTTTGCTCCCAGAGAAGTGTGGATGGGCCTTGGCTTGAGGTGGGAATTCAAGTCCCAACTCTGACACCTGAAGCTGGGTAACCCAGAGCAGTGGCCTTCAGCATGCTCTGAAAGCTTTCTGTAATTCAATTGGCATCCAGGCCCTGACTGACATGAGGCCATTCATTATCTTTAACCCACTGGGTGAGACTGTTTAAACATTTCTTGGCACAAATATTGATGTATTTTATTATGCGGTGCTGCTGCATTAGGAATGTTACACAAAATATGATATGTAATCCACATCCAAAAAATTCTGAGTTCCCACATATCTGGCCCCAGAGTTTCAGAAAAGGGATTGTGGACTTGTAGGGGATTGCATTGAATTGATTTCCTCATATTTAAAATGGGGATAAAAATAGTGATGATTATAAGAGATCATGTCTATGAAATACTTAGCACTGTGCCTGGCATGGTATAAATGCTCAAAAAAAAAAACCACACTAGTTCTTAGTACTGACATCCATAAAACGGCTGTTGGGAGGATCCAATGAGACAGCACAGTGGCTGGCGCTTAGCAAGCGCTCAAAACAGATTTGAAGGAAGGGAAGGTAGGATTTGAAATAAGAACATGTTATACAATGAAGTGCAAATAAATGCAAATGAGAGACTCCAAAGGTTTACCCATCTGTTCTGTGTCGCACAGAGCTGATTAAGAGCTTCTCGGAAGTGGGATGTGACTTTGCTTTCTTTGATCAAGCCCCAAGCGCTGCTACAACCCCCTGTGCGTGCTGAGGAGGAAACAGCATGGCTGGCCGTGAGGTCCAAGTTTTGCCAACCCTGCCTGCCAAGGATCAAACGCTCACTGTCTCCCAACAGCAAGGAACATTTAGTGGAGGTACGTGAAAACTCTCACAGTAGAAAACAGATGCTTACATCAGGGAGATCCCAAATCAGGCACATGTCCTAACCTCCCCAAATATGCGGGTGTTTATTGATTTATTTTTTAATTTCAAAAATAAGCATCAGAGGCAAATTTGGAGCCTATTTCTCTCTGGGCTTCATAGATGGCATGAATCTGCTTGCATTTTTGTTATGGCTCGCTCATCGGCACTCTTGCTTGAGATAATTGGAAGCTGTCCGAGCAACCCAATGTTTCATCCTTTAGCAAAGCGCTAGAAATGGGCGGCAACATGCTTCCTGGAATATGGAATCCAAGTCTCCAGGGAAGAAGGGTTGGCAGGGTGACCATCGGGTCTTTTAAAACATTTTCATTTTTCTCTCTGGACAAAGAATGAAGTATCTGGCAGCCAATGTGGTCTAAAAGTCCTTCTTTGATGTGTTTGTCTCTCAGAATTTTCAAGACTTTCTAATCCTGAAGGTTGGTGGTTGACAGTCTCAGACACTGGTAAGAAACATGGGCTTGTTTCTAAATTCCTCTTCCAAGGGGTACAGCCCAGAATTAGGACCTGCTGAGTATTCACACCCCATCTCAGGTGGGAGAGTGGAACTCTGACGTCCTCTGGGCCCCACCCCTCAGGACTGGGAGAACACAACCTGCCCCAGGTCCACAGTCTGAGGTGG